GGGGGCCGCGGGGGAGCCGGGGCAGTGCAGGGTGGCGGAGGGTGGGGGCCACTCGGCTCAGACTGAGGGCTGGTAGGGCATGCCAACAGGCAGCACCTCCTTCTCACTCCGGGCACGAAGGAGCAGCGGCTGGCATCCAGTTCATTCACGTGTTTGCAGAAACCTGAGGGCAGCAAGAGAGACTGTCAAACCACACTGAGTTCCTTAGCCTCATCCTCCCCACTGAGGTTGGACTGCAAAGGCCTCTGGGAAAATCCCTCCCATCCACTCCCATCAGGGAGCAAACCTGGAGGGCTCCTTGGAAGTGGAGAAGCACACTCCCCATCTCCCCTTCCTCTGTCCACCTTGGGAAGCACCGTTACCCCGCACTGGGCTCCTGGGGATCTCAAGGCAGCCCCACAGAGAAATATGCAGTCGCCAACTGCACCTCCCAAGGACCCGTGTGGATTATTGCTTCATAAACAGAGGAGAGGACAAGGCATTCCTGGCCTCTGATTGGCTACAGCTGCCTGCTGGGCACCAGAACCCAAATGGGTTCTGGGTTCTGATTCCAGGTTCTAGGTGCTGGTGCTGGCTGGCCCAGAGGGCTCCAGGTACCCTCCTCTCTCTCAGGCTAACGGACAATGGCTGGCCCAGACGGTGCTTGTTGCATATGGTTCCTGAGCTAAACCTCCCCCACTCATGCTCTCAGCCCTAAGCCTCAATCTCTCTGGACCTCAGTTTCCCCAGATGCAGAATGGTGCCCTAACTGCATCCACCTCGCTGTGACAGGCAGAGATGAAGTGAGTTTATGATGGTGAATTTGGGTACAAAATAGGCACCACATCATGTCAGTGTCAGGGTAGGAGGGGCTAGGTTGTCCCAATTCCGTGGATGAGGGAAACTGAGGCTCGGAGATGCCCTGCTAACAGGTGTCTGGGTGCCATGAGAGCCTCCCACACGGCTCCCATGTGCTCTCTGTAGCGGGCTTCCCCTGCACTTCGGGACCCCAAGTGGGGTCAACATCCCAGAATGCAATGTGCTGCCTGGGGTCCCTTCAGATCACCACCAACCCTAATGGCCAGGGCCTGCGGCAGACTCCGGAGAGGGATGTCCCAGAGCCTGGCACAACCTGGCTCCACGGGGACAGGGGGACGGGCTCTCACCCCAGCCCCCCACCCAAGCCAGGCCACACCCCCACCCACCCAAGGGGCCAATAAAACAAATGGACAGAACTCATCAGGCCTGGTGGTGACATCCCAGATGCTACAGCACAGGGACAGTGGGGAGGGCAGGAGGGTCCAGGAGGCGGCCCCTAACCCAGCAAATGAACCTCCTACGGCTCTTAGCCACTCATGGGGCAGAGGGGTCTCACACAGGTAGGGCCAGTGGGCAAAGGCAGGGGCTCCTCGTTCCAGCTGATGCCATGTCCCCACGATGGTGACCAGCTGAAAAGAGCCTGACACCACGTCCACTTGCAGTGTAGCCCCCTCCCAAACGCCCCAGTCATGGGAGAGGCCCTGTGGAGCCACTGCAAGCCCAGCGGCCCTCCACCTTCTCCTGGACCAGCCACTCATTACTCAGACCCCCTGGGGCCTCCGGGGTAAAAGGGCAATGGGGGACAGGTGAATGGCCCCTGTAAAAAGTGGGAAGGGGCACCCCCCCCCCAAAGACCTCAGTATCCAGCAGGGGCAGTGGTCCCTGGGCACAAAGACCCTCTCAGAGACCACAGTGCTGGCGAGTGACCAGGACCGCAAAGCAGCACCCAGCACGCCCCCCCCCAGCTCCCAAAGTGCTGAGGGGACACTTCTCACCCAGTGTCCAGGGCCCACCGCCCCTCCCCCACTTTTGACAACTTCAGGACAAGCCCCCTCCCAAGGAAACGCTCCAGGCAATGCCCCCCACCTCTTGGGGGGGGCATAAGGAAGAGGCCAGAGGAAGCCACTCCCCCCCACGCTGCCCCCGCCTGGCCTGCTGGGTTTAATGACCCTTCCGGGTCACCCTCGGTGGGGGAGGGGAGCAGGGCAGGCCTCCACACCACGGCTTGAGGGGGCAGGTGGGAACCCCGGAGCCCCTCTGGGCCAGGCCTGGGCCCCTCAAGGCTGCCATTAACCCTAAACTGGCAGCGCCCACCCCCTCCAGACCCCTCCCCCCAAGAGCCCTTTGTCCTCGGCCCCTACCCCCACTTTATGACAGCCCCCTGGGAAAGGCATTCCCCGGCGGGGACCTGGAAGGGATGGGGGGTGCTGAGTGGTCGTTAGGAACTGGCTGGGGGGGGGGGCGAGGAGAGGAGAAAT